ATTCTTGCCTTTTGAGCTAGCAAGGTTAACTTGTTTCTCCGAGCACTCCAAATCCCAGCTACTAACTCCTTTTGCCTATTTCTTTCTGATTGTATAAGAACCTGTTCCTCGTTCTTCGCATCAAGCTCCTTTAATTCATTTGTCAGACTTTTTATCATGGTATCCACATTACCAAACACCTCAATATTCCACTTCTTTAGAGCATTTTTAACATTCAAGAGCTTTGATCGTAATCTTTGAGCAGCCCACGGACCTTGGACCTGTTTCTCCCATGCAGACCTTACCACACCCTCAATACCACAATGAGAAAGCCAACAATTATTAAAGCGAAACGGTTTAGGACCCCAATTTAGCACCTTATGGTTCAAAATCAAAGGACAATGATCAGATACATCTCGCGGGATCACCTTCACAAATCCTGCACCCCAGTGAGCACTCCAACTTTCTGATACCAACACCCTATCCAACCTGCTCATTATAGATCCATCACTCCTAAACCAAGTAAATCGCTTGCCAACCAGTGGTACATCAATCAACTCCATCTCAGTTATAAATGAATTGAATTCCTCCATATCCCGTGCACCATGGTCACCAAACCCCCCTTTTCTCTCTTCTAGTCTTCTCACCGTATTGAAATCCCCCACTATACACCATAAACAACTCCCAAAACCTCTCTTAGACATTATTATATCTCCCCATAACCGCCGCTTATCCACAAGGTGACAAGAAGAGTATACATTGACCACTACACACCTATACGCATCCACACCCCATTGCAAGCAAACACCATGAAAACCAGAACCAGAAAACGAAAATAATAATTTACCTCTATCAGAGTTCCAAATTGAAAGTAGACCTCCACTCCTACCGTGAGAAGGGGAAGCAAACCACTCAAACTTTGTAGATCCCCATAATTGAGCACAACGAGCAGTATCACACATCTCCAATTTAGTCTCCTGTATAGCAATAAAATCTAGCTCCTCAGATCGAATAAGCTCTGATATGCGATGACTTTTCACTTTACCCCCTAATCCCCGACAATTGAATGTACCAACTTTCATTGCATATATGAGGCTCCCCTTATATCAACCGATGCCATACGATCCCTCTGCTCCATGGATATAATCTTCTGTCGCACTTCATCTTCATTTCCACGCACCTCCATTCCAATACTCTTGCAAATAGATAGAATACGATTTGCCATGGCTTCATCACAACATCGTTCTGCATTAGCAGCTGAATTGGCCCCATTAATATCATTTGAATGGACCACCTTAGAGTTTCCCCCACCTACACTAGTCTCTGGAGCCAAAGAACTTTTTGGCAATGATGATGAATCTTGAGGTGCTCCTTGGATCTGCATTTTCTTTCTGGCTCTGTTTAGTGCGTTTCTCACATTATTTCTTATAGTTGGCTCATGACACTCCACAACACCCCCTCTACTAGACACATCTTCTTTTTCACGAATCACCCTGCTCATATTGGTAATCAAACCATTATCAACTACTGCGACATGTTGGTCAACGCATACCTCCCTCATCGGGCTCACCATATGATTCTTCTTATTCCCCACTGCCCCACAATGATTATTCTTAGTGCCTTTGTTACTAACCCCTACAATTACGTTATTACCTTCCATGGCCGACTCAGTACTTTTACCATCTTCCATAGCAGTTTCGTTGACCCCTTCCACTATGTGTTCCACCCTTTTCGTAACCCCCTCAATGCCATTCTGACCATAATCATCATTGGCAATTCCCAATGAGACCTCACCGCTGCTACTTGCTTTGTCCATCATCTCTGGTGGTTGTTCCTCTATTCCTCTATCATCCTCAGAGGAATAATTTTCCACATCCTCCAAATTAAGTGACTGATCGACGGAAGCATCCTCAGAGTTGCTATCATCACTGGACCATTCTGTTGTCAGAAATTGTCCTCCATGTTCCTCCACCAAGCGCACTGAGAAACCTAAATCATTCACCAATACCCGTGTTTCCTCATTGATCAATGCCTTATACGTCGTACTCATTTGAATTCGGGCATAATCAAGACGCCTTCTCTGTCGTGTATCATCGTCTACTTGGATGAAATCCCCCATTGAAGATACCATTTTAATGAAAAATTTCTCTGACCATGCATGAAGGGGAATGCCATAACAACGTACCCATGTTTGACGTCGTACACAGACCATCCTCGGATGCCATTCAATTATCTCATAAAACCACCTCTCCCAAAGTTGTTTATATAGTGACACTGTATCCTTAAGATTAACACAAGCATCCGATTCTACTAAAACCATATCATCACCCATCGTTGTCACCTTAATATCCAGGAGACCCTCTTGTAATAGCTCTTGACGTATCGTATCTAACTGGATATGACGATGGCGCCGACCCACCAAAGATCGCTGACAATCCTCTATTACCTTATCATCCACCGAGAAATGAAGATGAGCCCAAGGCTCCTTTTTCCTCACCCATTCAGTACCCCTCTTAGCGGATACCACCGTATTTCCCTTTGAATCCCTAGCGTTGAACCTGGTTTGTCCTTTTAATTTGTCCGCATATGAGTCACTATGGCTACGCATTTCCCTGCCAGAGGCACATTGTCTACTAACTTGCATCCGCGTACCAACATGACTGTTACTCCTCACATTTCGAGAATGACGAGTGAGGTTGACCTTTAGCCTCCGTGCTCCAATGACAATAGAATTAAGACTCCTCTCCAAACCTTTCACATCGTAGACACCAGAGAATCGTACAAACCCAAACCTTCGTCCATGATTATCCCGTTTTTTGGGAATAAACACATCTACTACCTTTCCCCATTTTTGGAAAATTTTCCACAGCACCGAGATCTCTTGATTATCTGCCACATTGGTGAAGAAAAACGATGTAGAATTATTCAGAATCTTTCTTAAGTGTCCTCCAAAATTTTCGTGAGCTCCCTCCATTCCCCTTAGAGACCTTTTCGTGATCATTTTCCCGTTCTGCAATCTGAATCACGCAACCATAACCACTCCGATTAAGACAGAAAAGCCTTGTTTAGTAAGACATTTGATCAAACATATGGTGCGCAGCCTCTCCCTTACATCCTAGAATGGCATCCTGCATGTCCAGAGCTTGAGGAAACAAATATGAGGAAACACTGCAAAAGATTCCAACACCAAAACCGATAAGACAGAAAGACTTTGTTCAAAGTGTCATTTGATCAAACACCTGGTGCGCAACCTCTCTGTTTGAACTATGAAGAAGAAGAAGAAGGAGATGCTACGACGCTACAATGACCAATTGGACAAGTTGATGATTGAACAAGTCAGAAGCCCTTTGTAAATCGGCTAAAGACAATTCAGACCAAGAACACCCTACAGATCTTAATTGTCTAATAGATGAAAAGGAAGATTGTGGCTATGACGAGGAAGAATAGAACCTTTTAGAAGTTTTAATTTGAATGCCGTTCCACCCTTATTTGTACTTCACCTTCCTTACTGATTTGATACTTCATCGCAAGTAGATTCGGAGTCTCGTTTACACTGTCTCTTCAAGCCTTCTCTCTTTCTCTTTCTCTCGTTCTGTCTCGTTCTCTCTTTCTCTCAACGTCTGTCTTTCTCTCTCGTTCTCGGGGCACAGCGGGTCGAGGGTGGTGGGTGTTGGGTGTGTCGGATTCGGACCACGGAGGGTGGTGGCTGGTGTGGGTGGCTGTTAGCTTGGGTGGTGGGTGTGTCGGATTCAAACTGCGGAGGGTGGTGGTTGGTGTGGGTGGTTGTCGGTGTGGGTGGCTATGGGTGGTGGGTGTGTCAGATTTGGGCCACGGAAGGAAACGACGGATTCAATTTGGAGGTTGGCATCATCGGGATCAGTGTTGGACGGTGTCACGGTGGAAACGACGCCGGAGCTTGGCTCCGATGAGTTTTCAGATTCCGGTTCTGAGTGGTCTCTGAAGCGGAACTTCGGAGGAGGAGGAGGAGGAGTTGATGAAGATTCCATTTCCATGCCAAACTAATGAAAAGGATTTGAATTTGGTGATAAATGCATCAAAACGTGGTGGTTGAGTGTCAATAATATGAAAGAAACTTGATTATCCTGTTGAGAAGGTTAGCTGCTATGTCTCAGATGACAGTGCATCTATGCTTCTCTTTGATACCTTGTCAGAAACTGTTGAGTTTACCGGAATATGGGTTCCTTTTTGTAACAAGTATAACATTGAGTCGAGGGCACCGTAGTTTTATTTCTCTCAGATACTTGATTACTTGAAAGATAAGGTGCACCCACATTTGTTAAGGATCGCAGGGCCATGAAGGTGGGGACTACATAGATAAGCCATGAAAAAAGTTTTTTTTTTTTTT